GCCTTGTCCCTGTAGTCACCAGGACTGGCCCCAGCTGCATGTTATGGCTGGGTCTGGGCTCATATTACCCCAGTGTACTTACTGGCTGTGGCGTGGGGACGGGGACAGTGGCATGGGTATGGAGGGACAGGAAGGGGCACCTGCCTACGACATGCTGCCTGCCCAGCCCTTCCTCATTTCTCTGAGGAGGGTGGGGTCTGGGCAGGAGCCTCCCGCTGTTGGCACAGGGCTCCTGGGCTGCCTGTGGTTCCTGGGTGCCCTGTCCCAACACCCAGCCTAGACAGACGGATGGACCTGCCTGGCTGAGGTTTCCAGAGTGACTGAGCACAAGTGTCCGTGCTGCTGGTGCTGGTCATGTTTAGCACTCCATGTAGCAGTGGGCAGATATTTGGGAGAGATGCATCTGAAAGCCTCCTAGGACATGTTCTGGGGCATCCCAGAGGGAGGTCACCCTTGTGATTTATTTATGTAAGGTTCCAGGACTAAATCATGAATTCCTTCTTTAGCTGCCTGTGTAGAGGTGTTTTGCAGATGTTTTGTTAGTTTGGTCTCCTGGGGACAATCAGGGTGGGGGAAGGAGCAGGACAGCCCCTGAACTGAAGCCACAAGCTTTGCAGGGATGCGTTGCACATGCTCACCTACGTATGGGTGAGATAGGATGCTGGGGAGATGGTCTGAGGCAGTGGGTACCCTTAGGAGCCTGGCCTGGGCTTGGCTGCTGGGGTTGTTCAGAGAAGTGCTCCTGCTGCGGTGCAAGCGGGTACCATGCCTTCCTCCCTAGCTGCCTCTGCGGAGCTGCAGCCAGCGCCTAGCTGTGTCTGCTGCAATGCAGAGTGAGAGGGCTGGGCAGGAAGGCCTGAGCGCAGGAGCAGGCGTGCCTTCGTTGCAGCCGGCGGGATGCTGCCTGCCCGGGCTCTGCTGCTCCCAGCCTGGGTCCCTGTCCTAGGACTTTGAGCACCTCCTGAACCGCACAGGGGGAGCATTTGGCAGCGGGCATGCTCACCTACGTATGGGTGAGATAGCACCGTGCCTATCAGTATTTCTGGGAGCTGTGATTTATTTGCCCTGGCTAGCAGCGTGGAAATGCAGCGTGGCGGTGGGACCCAAGTGCAGAGACCTGCCTGGCATGGAGGAGAGTTGTAGGAGCGGAGAGCGGTGACATACAGCTGCAGGGTCTCAGGAAGAGCGAAGGATCCCCCACGGGGGACCTGGTGCTCAGATGGCTTTCCTGGGACCCCGCTTGTTTGTATCACCCGCTCACCACCTTGATGGCTTGGAGCCAAGGCCAGATCCTGCCCGCAGCAGTGGAGAGCTGGCTGATGGGCTGTGCTGGGCTAGGAAAGGGGGCAAGACAAGTCATATCAAACTGCTTCAAAAAGCAGCACCTTCCAAGGCTCACCAGGCGCACGGTGGTCTGGCGTCAGCAGGAGACACAGGCTGGAAAACAGCTGGCAAGCAGCAATTGAGGGTCAGTGGAGCAAGGGGCTACCAGAGGTAGCAAGTGCCCTTACACATGCTGCCCCACAGACAATGGTCAGGGCTTCCAGGAGGCCAGGAGAAGCCTCTGGTGATGGCCCCGATGCCGGTGAGACCACCGCTCCCCCTCCTAGCCCTGACATCTGGAGAAACACCTCCAAAGCAGACAGGGTGCTAATTTCCTCTCCTTTATCTGCTAGCCCACAAAGTTAAGTGAACTATAGCTAAACAAACCAAATTAAAACCAAGTGGGTTAATATCAACCTAGGATTACCCTTGTTATCAAGTAGACGGAACTGTATCAAATAAACCAACAATTCTTTATAAGCTTTATCTAATTATCCAGGAGGCAGCTGACTTGTAGAGCTCCTGGCCTCAGACTCAGAGGGCACTCCTGGCTCCAGGCCAAGCAATTTATTTACTGATATTGCAGCCAAATGCCAGGCACCCATCAGGGGGTCCAAGCCCTGCCAGACTGAAGGGATATTGAGGTGAGCTCTGATCCTGGATGTAGGACTGGAGGAGATGGCTGAGCAGATACAAAATCCTTTGGCCAGCAAAGGTGTGATGCTGAGGCAGTCGCTGGTCTTCTGGTAGGAGCTGGATAAGGGGGAGAGCCTTCCTGAAGAGTTATTCTTTCTGTGGGATGGGTGGTTGTGATGTGGATGGGTTCATAGCTCAGCTGGCAGGGACTGGGAGAGGCGAGCCCTGGGGGGATGATGTCCGTGTCCACGTGGTGGCCTGCCACGTGACAGGGGAGGACAGGATCCCACCAAGCACACTGGCAGGACAGGCTGGAGCTACCAGCAGCCACAAAGCATCCTTGCCTCTTTGCATGGGAAACTGGAACCTACCTCATACCCTCAGACTCCACTTCCTCCTCCTACCTTTGTTCCTTCCCCAATGAGAAGCTGAAGACCCTCTTCCCTCCATATTCTTCCCATGCAAAGGAGCCGGAGCCCTTCAGGGAAGCTGACAGTGGGTCTGAGGCTGGAGATGTTGGTGGTTCAGGTCCACGCTGAGCTGCTGCTGTGTGTGGCTGAAGGTCAGGTGGATCTTAAGGCTGTGCCGGTTTGGGCTCGACCCAACTCATTTTGCAGGTAAAATCTTGAATGAGTCACGGTGGGGAACAGTGGTGATGGGTAACTGTAGCTGCTGAAGGGTGTATTATCAGAGGACATCACAGGTTAGGTGGCCAGCTATACCTGTGTAGGCTGGACTTTGGACTGCTGATGGCTTGAACTGTATGAGAACACCCCAGAAGGATTTGAGGGATTTTTTTGTCAGCACTGGGGCAGGAGGCAGGGTGGATTTCCAGGGAAGTCAGGATCTGTACAAGGTTTGTAATGGACACCACTGCACTGAGCCCAAATTGGAGACACTGAGATGAAGAACCTGGGGCTGGCAGAGGGACCGTGCTCCAGCGGTCGGTCCCCTGCATTGGCAGTTATTTTGGATATATCGTGATTGGATTTATCTGGCTTTTGGGCAAACTTTCTGTTCTTTTCCCTGCTAGACCAAGCAGTCCTCAGCATCTTACCTGGGGAAGAGTGAGTCTTTTGGGTGGGTGTTTTTAAAGAAAGTTGCCTTCCAGTCTCCTCTGAATCTGGACAGATTGAACTCCCACAGCTTTTGGGGTCGAGACTCACTTCTGTGCCTCCACTCTTCCCACATCTGTTTTCAGTCTGGCCACATCTGGCCTTGTAGGAGGAGGCACAGAGGAGCCTTTTGGAGTGGTCTGAAGGATTTCTGTGCTTGCCAGAGCCAGGATGCAGTGCCCTGGGCTCTCTGCTTTGGATTGGGGAATTCAGGCTGCAACATGATATTTTTTTCACCCCTGGCAAAACAGCCTTCAGCTCCAAAAAGCACAGAAGTCCTGGATTACTGGATGCTGGGATGTG